TTGTTCATCACCAGGTGGAATACTTCTAAGGAGGAAATAAGAGCAAATTTAAAAAAAATAAGATAAATTGAAAACTTATCTAAACTGAGATGTATAATATAAATAAGGGATCAAAATTCTAGCATAAGCTATTTTAATATATTTCTTCAAATAGGTTCTACAAGTGCAAATATTTCGACTAATCAGTAAATGCATATTTGCGATTGTGTTTGTGTGCCCCTTCCACAAACAGACAATCTATTTGGTTTGTCGCCACACCCCGCGCTCTTAATTTTCTTCAACGTTGTATTCTCCCTAAAACAAATTAAATTAGACAATATTGCATACTTAATTTCACAATTTCCAATAATAAGAAAACGGTAATGAGATGAAGTATATTTTAAAAGAATATGAATTAGCATTCATTCATAAATATTTGAAGATGTAATGATTCCATCAACATGTATAATCAAATAAACGATATAGAGTTATAAAATATAATATTTACACATTTATATATCATAATTTCTTATAGTTTAATTATTTACTTTTATATATATATATATATATATATATATATATATATTAAGATTGATTTTAAGGTTAATATTAATAAATATTTAATATTTTTATATTTTATAAGAATTGATAGGAATTATACAAATTAGAAAAGAAACATCAATATAAAATGAAGGCCTTCAAGAAACACAATGAAATTTTTTTTAAAAATCTACACATCTTAACAAGAAAGTCTTCACCTTTTTGGTAGACCTCCCAATTTGAGAAGGAAAATCTCATGCATCTTACACTAGACAAATAGGAATTTTCCAACTGATTCTTATGGTAGAGATGTAAGTTATTGACATAGTGTTTAAGATTTAAGTCTTCCGCATACTACCCAATATGATGAGATCCGAAGTCATTTATTTCTAAACAGGAAATTGACTCAACCTTTAACACTTAGAGTTAACAATGACATAAGATTTGTGACCCTTTCACTCCCAACACCTTGGAGGAGGTATTACCCACACTTTGAAAAACTTCGACCATGGAGTAGTACAATGAGTTCACGAATATAGATAAACATGGTCTCGGAGCATTTTTAGAAATAATAACACCTTTTTTTGTAGGATTTTCTCAATAAACCTAAAGGGACAACCTTGAAATGGTTTTATGATTAACCTTAAAACTTAATAATTTTTTTTGAAATTCTTGTTAACATGTTCCAAGTGAATTTTCTTACAAAGCTGATGTTTCAAAGGTTGAGACAGATAAAAATGAATATTTAAGAAAGTTCATGGAATGGTTCACTGATGTAAGTCTAATTGTTCATAATCTTTATTTTGATGTGATAATACATGTTGTGGTTGTTTGATTAAAAATAATTTCATTCTTGGATAGCTAATTCATGAATTATCTAAACAATATGAATGAGCTCAGAACTTGGGCTTCAAAATTCATACAAATGGAGGAAAATACTAAGATTGAAAAAAAGAGGAGAACAATAAAGATAATATGACCAACCACTATAATTCAAATAAGAGGTCGAGAAGACATGGGAGGAAAGAAAACTTCATTCCATATATGCTAACCTCAACACAATGTTCAATGAGTCATATAATATAGAATTAGTCAAGCTTCTAAAATCCTAGAATTTACCCAATAATTTAGATTAAAAATAAACATTATGCATGGTATCAAAAATATGTTCACACCATTGAACAATGTCAAAGAGTTTGAGAATAATAAAAGAATTTATTATTTACCTTAACAATCTCAATTACAAGTTATTATATTGAATTATAAATGATTAAAATAATAAAAGAATCAAATTTCAATCAATAATATGCGATTCAAATTAGAAAACTAACCCTAGTAATATAGAAATCCATAACAAAGCAATAAAAAATAACAAACTGACTTATGACTTAAGCTAAGTCTTATTTATACAACAAGAAATACGAACAAATAGGGATGACAAAAGGGGCTAGGCCAGCGGGCTGGCCGCTAACCCGCCATAATATGGCGGGGCGGGTTGGTATTTTCAGCCCACCAGCCCGCTTTGGCCCGCCCGCAAGTCCGTCAACCCGTCGGGCCAACCCACGGGACGAGGCGAGCCGGCCACGGCCAGCCTAATTAATAAAAAAATAATTTTTTATTGTAATAAAATTAATTATAAAGATAATATATAAAGTTAAAAATTTTAAAAAGAGAATTAAAAAAGTTTCATTCTGACAGAAAATATTCTCCTTCCCGAAATATGACCTTCTCTCATGTTCTCCTTATTTATCCTAAGCACTGATTATATTTATCCTTATTACTTGAATTAAAGATATAAGAATTACTCAACCAAGAATAATATGAAGTTTTATCAAATAAAAAAGATATAGATATTTGAATTTTATAATATAAAAAATATAAATTTTATAAGTTTAACGTTATTTATATATATATATATATTTGTTATTATTTATTATTATGTAAATTTTATTATTATTCTAAATTATAATTTCTTAAAATAATGTATTGATTTATATTATTAAATTGAAATAATATATATATATTGAATTATTGACAAACAAATAATAATCTTATTATTAAATTTATTAAAAAATATATTTAAAAAAAATATTTTTTCTAAATTATGGCGGGCGACCCGCAGCACGTAACCGCCCCTTGGCGGGGCGGGCTAAGGTCTACGACCGTCATGACTATATCGGGCCAGCCCGCCCGCTCGCTTTTGGCGAGCCAAAGCGAGGCAAGCCAAAACGGAGTCAGCTGACCTGTTTTGCCATCCCTACGAACAAACATACAAGACCCATAAATAACAATATAAAAAAGTTAAAAATTGATCTATTAATCCTGCTAAATTACTAGTATGCAGCTTCTCGCTGAGTGTCACCTACTTCGATGAGTGAAATATTTGATTAAATTAGTTATTTATGTATCGATAATTTTATTCTAGAAGTGTGGTCTTTGTTAAGTGGATTACTCATTTTAGAAAATAGTTTTCTGCCTCAAATTAACCATTATTGAGCAAACAAACCTCAAATTAAAGATTTAAATCTTTTTAATTTATTATTCCTCAATCAATATATAAATATTCAATAAAATGTATAATTTAGATAATAATTTAATCAAAAATTTATCTAATTTTATTTTTCTAAAATTATATTAAGAATATAAATTATATCATGAAATAAAGTAAATATATATAAAATATATAAATAAAATTTATTCATCAAATAACTTCACACTTACAAAATTTTACTCTTCCAAACAAGAATAGAAATAAAAAAAGAATTTTTTTTACCAATAAATCAAATTGGTAATCATTAATTTAATTATAAAAATTTTATAATAATAAAGATAAAACAAAAATATTTTATCAATAATTTTAATAAATAATAGTTAATAAAATGTTAATTATAACATAAGATTGATATTCATGAGTTAGAAGAAATTTTATGCATATGATTTATTCTATGGGTTGACACATTTTAGAAGAGAAATATATTATATTGTGATAATACATGGGTGTATTTTTTTTAATTTTCATCAATAATTTATCTTGTATTATTGTTTATTATAAGTTTCATAATAATAATAATTATTTTCGTATATCAAATATTGTTTTTAAATTACTATGGTTTAAAAGAAGAACTAAACTCTATTTGGTTGGTAAAAAATATTATTAAAAAAATATATATAAAATTTTTAGATATGAAAAATTTTAATGAGCGACACAAGCTATTTGTATAAACATCCCATGATATATATATATATATATATATATATATATATATATATATATATATATATATATTTTATAATTATGTTATGTTATTATTGTGAATTAAAAAAAATACAAGTTTAAAACGATTATATAATAATCATCCGCTCCGCGTGGAGATAGAGACATATATAATAAAATTTGAAAATCCGGATAGGTAGATTAAGTTTTTTAACTGGTAAAACATTAATGTATTTTTTAGGTATAAAAAAAATATTCGAGACATTAAATATAATATGTAAATTTAATGTTAAATTTGATATAAAATAAAACTCTTGAATAACACAAAATACTTAACAATATAATTTAAATAACCATTTATCAACTGCTAGAGGGTGTTCTTTGTAGTAATTTTTTTTTCAAATTTAGAAAATAATATATGTCTTGAAAATTATGATTTTTAAAAATTACTACTGTTTGGTTGGTTAAAATATAATTTGAAAAAATATATAATTTTCTAAAATAAAATAATGATATATTATTTTTGCTGTGACATTTATTTATTTTTATATTAAATAATCTCATAAGAATAATGTGATATTTCTTTGGTCAATAAATGTTCTCCTTCAACTAGTGAAAATTAAAATTTCAGCTCTCCCATTACAGTTAGACTATTGTTGTGAAAATTTTTTTTATACAAATAGCACATTTTTGAATAAAAGGTTAGAATCTGAAAATTTTTGCACAGTATACTATATTTGTATATTTATATCCAATCAATATTATATGCAAAAATGCAAAAACAAATAGAGGTTATGTTGGTAAGATTGTAATAAAAGGTCAATGTTCTTGGTAGTTGTTTATTTTGTCACCATTATTATATCAATATATTTATAACTTTTTTATTTTTCAACGAAAGTTTAACTGAATTAAATAATTGATCACAGTGACACCAATATTAGAAGTGACACAATTCCTAAAAGAATGGGAGGATTTGAGGGATTCTGAATATCACACAAAAATGGGAAGTCCAATTTATTCTCTATAGAAGGTTTTGGCATTCAATGACATGGACTTGATCCTCTTTGTGATTAAAGCTTGACTTTCCACCATTTTCATTCCTTCTCATACCTTTAACTTTACCCTTTTTCTCTTATAAATCTTCTAATTGCTCAATTATTTTCTCTATAAATAAGAGGAGGCACACACATTTTTATTCAATTCTCCACACCATTATTTGGTTTTCCAAATTTCTCTCCCCTTTTGCTCTCAAACAGTAGGCGCAAATATGGAAGACCTTGATTCAATGATTCTCTACCCCGAGGTTTGATACCTATATCTATCTATCTATCTATATATATATATATTCTTTCACACTTTGAGTACTTTTGTTGTACTGCATCCTTGACCAGAGTTTCTGTCTTGCATTCATGTCTTCTTTATTTGTCAGTCACTTATACGATTGACATTCTTTATATGGATCAAGTTTGACCTGTCAACTGATTCATTGCCTTCATCTGTATTCACTTTTCCTTATTTGTTGATTCTTTTAGAATGAACTGTGGGTGGAAAGATAAAAGTGGAGAGTGTTTGGAGGATTAAACAAGAAAGTGTAATTTTTTTTTTATCTCGGTAAATGGTTAAGGTTTGTGTATTCACTGAATTGGAGGAGCAGATTTTGTGGGAAAAAATTCGTTTTTATTATAATTTGAAACAAGACCTTTGTCAGGGTCACTAAGTACTTTTATCTTAGTTTTGTCAGCCACTAAATACATGGACTTTCCACATTAGAAAACTACTTTCTTGAATCTAAGATGTTTTATTCTGGATGTGTTTCAATTGATCTGTTTTCTCTTTCTGGGTTAACCTTCTGCAAGGATATGCACCAGTTTCCAGGAACCTTAGTTATTTTTATGCAACATGTTTCAGAACTTAATACTTGACCCCCACTTTCTGTCTACTGTACTCCTTCACGTTAAATCTTGGACAATTATTGTTAATTATTGGTACTTGCTTTATTTGAAAAAAAAAAAAATATTGTTTCCTTGTTTATAGTTTGATAATTGACCCTTTTCCAGCAATATTTTTTCCCGTTATGTACCAAATACCCTTATTATTGCGGTTTCTATAAATAACGTGTCTTCCATTTATTCGGACACAGGAGAATTTTTGCCTAGGGTTGCTTGAGATTACGTGGATCTTACCTTGAAACAGTGTTTGAACCTGTTGCATGCACTCTGGATATACATATACCTAACTCATGTTAATCATCTTTGATAATTTAGGCAAAAAGCATAAATCATGACCAGGTCGCTTTCTCTGTTTTCGTTTACCAAAAATCCTTTAGGTTGCTTATTATTCAGCTAAACACTATCTCCAATTAATAGCAACAATGCAGTCAACAATGAGTGACCTCATTTAGGCCTTAGAAATGACCTTTGAGTTCCATATGAACACTATTTTGTTTTTTCTTGATTGATTTTTCAGGGGGAACACAAGCTAAGGCAGAAGCTGATGGATGCCAGACTTGAACTTGAGACCACAAAAAATGTCAAGACAGAATTGTTAAATCGGTTGAAGATGGCTTACCAAGAGAGGGATGAAGCAAGGTGCCAGCTAGTTGAACTCATGAATCAATTCATGCCCTCTAATCGAACCAATTTGCAAAGCGTGTTTGATATCCAAAATCATTTCACATCCCCTTCTGCTATTACACCAAACTCAGGCATAACAGAATCTGATAATAGTCTCTCACACGGTTCCCCAAAAGTGGAATCTATCTTTGCCGTCTCCTCTCCAGCATTTGCAAACATCAATGCAGTTGATCACACGGACAAAATGAGTTATCTCAATCAGAATTTAATTCAAGACTTCAATTTCTCAGCATCTCAGGTTTTGATTATTCCTTCTGTGAAACCAATATGTGATCCTGGCACTGCAGTAATAGATCGTCTTGCCAATGAAAGAGGTTTGCCTCAAATGGGGCAACTCCTTCAGGCTGTGAAAGATGCTGGTCCATTGCTCAACACTTTGCTCCTTTCAGGGCAACTTCCTAGATGGATAAACCCCCCTCCTCCTGTTGAAGAGATCAAAGTTCCACCTGTAGCCATAAAAAAATGTGATGTCACTAGCATCATTAAGCCTAGCACTTTCGGAAAAAGTGAGAATTCACTTCCAAAACCGAAGCTTCCACCCATACATTATTCTTCAAATGCTCTCTCCACGTGCTCGGCTGCCACGCTCAACCTTGCTGGTCAAACCACTGGTTCATGGAACAAAACATTGCAGTTGAATTCAACTTCTGGTGTCACTTCCAAGTCCCGTCAATGAGCAGCAAAGGCATCGAATGATTTTGATGGAATTTTTTATCCCTTAGTTCCCTTTTTTCCAATATGTAAATGGCACCCCTGCTTTTGATTGAAGCAGCACTGATAGCCTTTTTGATTTTAACTAAAATGTTGGGAGTTGTCTATTTGAAAGTATAGGAAAATTTGAATTTTCATATTATTAAATAGTATCATTTGTCGAAATCAACTAGAAGTTCAGTTATTTCAAACTCTCTTTGTCAAAGATATTCAGTTTTTCCAATCTCTCCTTGTCATATATATGTTAAATATGTCATCTTTTATGATGATTACTTTAAAAAATTACGTTTGAGATGTTAAATATGTCATTTTTTAGATTTATTTTGCTCAAGAAATTTTAAGTTTACCCTATTGCATATAAAAGAAAAATACCAGCTTCTTAAACTTAGATAGTAACTAGGACAAGGGTTGTCAGCAATTACAAGGGAGAATGCTTAGCATCATCTCCAACTGGACTACTTCGGTTTGAACGTTCGGTGTCCCTATGTCGGCATAGTTTTGCAACTTAGTTTACTGCTATTTTTAGCAAACTCTATGTAAACTTGATTTTCGTTAAAATGTCTTCTGATTCTAATAATCGCAAGAATCCTGCGCAGTGGAAGCTAGAAGAGGTTGTTTCAATTGTAATAGTCTTTGTTATCTTTTTTACACTGAGTGATTGCTTCGGCACATTGAAGCGTCTATTATGTGGAATTTACCGAGGAAGAAACCAGGTTCAAAGGAGACTTCTAGATGAGACCGTTCCCGATGATGATCCTTCCATGCAGGTTCAAAGCCGAGGATTGGAGTTGTGTGTGGTGCAGTCTCTTCCAACGATTGAGTTCAAGAAAAACGAGGGAGAACAAGACAAGGGGAGTAACATGGAATGTGCTATTTGTCTCGCAGAGTTTGAGGAAGGGGAGTGGCTGAAACATCTTCCACAATGCAGCCACAGCTTCCATGTTTCATGCGTTGACACGTGGTTTCAGTCTCATTCAAATTGTCCTCTTTGTAGAGCATTTGTGCATCATCACATGCTACAGTGTTCCGTACCTGCTTCTCACACATTGCTACAGCCTTTGAGGAGGGAAGACTTTGAAAGGGTTCAATTCATTTCCCCTGGAAATCTACCTATTACACAACATCAACGGTTTCTTCCCGTTTAATTTCCAAACCCCACCAACTATTTTTTTTTTTCTATCTTTGCTCAGTTTCGATTATTTTGAGGTCAATGAATGATACCTGGTAAATAAATTTTGGAGGGAAAGCTAACAGATTAAGAAGCCTCAATTTGAAAGTTATACGTGTATCTCGTGCGTTAAGAATGATGAGCGTACCAAACGAAGCTTTGATTACCAGAACGCCAGGAGAGTTCAATTTGAAATTTGTAAATCCATGATCAACATAATTTCGAACATTGTAGAACAAGCATCTGCTAAACTAAAAAAGTTGAGATTTTTGCATACAGAGAACACTCAACTTTGAGAAGTGCGGTATAGTTTTTAAGTCTGTTCTTTATTAATTAAAGTTAATTTTTTTTCCAGTATGTCACGTCCTCCTTCAAGGCTTTATATCAAACAAGTCTCTAACTTTGATTAAGAGGTTTTATGGTTTGTCGAAAATGCCTAAGATTCGACATTCAAAACACCTATAATACTAGTTCTTTTATTATTATTATTATTTTACGGGTTGTCATTTTTAATTTCCAAGCCCAACGCTACTTGATTTTCTTTGGGTTTTATGTTCCCCTCCTCTTTCTTTTATATAGACCAGGATGATGTAAAGTTAAATAGAATGAAAAATTATGTAGAATTTTATCTTATGCGCTTAGAGAAGTAATTGAATGAAATAAATTGAGATACATAATACTTTGTTCTATTATTCCTCTTCGGATTATTTCAAATTTCTCCTACAACTCAAACATTATCACAATTGCTATACAAAGTAAGTTTTAAGCTGTCTATTGTTGACGGGTTAGCTTTCGGGGTTTAGGTTGGCTACCGTAGTTTAAGGCGCATATTTTTAGGTTGGTGCCTCAGCGGTTCCCCTTGGCATCGGTACACTTATTAACCTCACATTCAACGAGACGCCTAATCATTAAAATTATAAAATTTTAACATGCTCATATCAAACATCGATTTAAGAGTCAAAATTGAAACAAGTATGCTTAATGTCAACTGAACCAAAAGATACAGAAGAATAAAACACAATATAGAACCTATTCTTTTTTTAAAAGTTTCCGTTGAAAATCGCCATTGAAGTTTGCCTAACATTTAATAGAACCCAGGTACTTCCTTATATAATGCCGATCTTGTTTGCCACATCCAATGCGTCGTAGTCAGGGGTCAACCTGACATAAGCCTTCTTGGTGCCATCAGGCCTGAAACAGAATAGAAATTCAGAAATTGAAGCTGAAATTCCTGATATATTGAATTAAAACTAAACACATTTCCATAAGTTCACCGTAGATGGGCATCTCAAACACATTTCAATTAACACACAACTCTACATTCTCAATTCTCAAATGGGAACCATAAAACAAATCAATATTTCCAAAGCAAAACAAGATGAAAAAGTACATAATATTCTCTCGCAAGAATTATTTCCACGTTCCAAAAATGAAATCGTTAATGTTGTACTTAGTCCTCCACATAATTAACTAATTAATGTTAACATTGCACCAAACTGGTAACAATGCCACGCCTGTTATTAAAACAGAAAACGGAACACGATGGGTGTTTAAAGCAGAAAAGAAGCTTACAGACAGGACTAGAAATTATATGGCAATGTATTAACAAAAAATTGTTTTCAAAAGGGTAGTTAAATAGCACAACATGCTATCCCAATCCCACTAGGTGAGTACGAAATTCACTACACTATACTAAATCCATATTAAAAAACTATTACTATCAAAACCAAATTATCAACGCATAAATGCTTACCTGATCAAGGTGTTCACTTTCTTGGCCTGAATGTCATACATTTTCTTCACTGCATCCTTGATCTTCTTCTTGTCGGCACGCAGGTCAACAATGAAAACCAAAGTGTTGTTGTCCTCAATCTTCTTCATAGCAGACTCGGTGGTGAGAGGGTACTTCAGAATCTGATAGTGGTCAAGCTTGTTCCTTGGTGGCGCACTAATGCGAGGGTACTTAGGGTTCCTATCCTTCTTCAATGTCTTTGGCCTATGGAATGTCACAGATGTTCGGATCTTCTTCGCTTTCTTCTTAAAGGTAGGACCAGACTTAACTGCCTTAGCAGTTTTCAAGGCCTGTGCCTTTGGATCACCCTTCTTAGAACTATCAACTGCATAAAAAAAAAAAATCATTTAAATCACACACAACAAACATAACGTTTCATACTCCATAATCTTCTTCCAAATTACATTCTTAATTCCACTACTACTGAAAAAATAACCGAATAGTTTAAATTTTGTTATCTAATCCTTATAATGAAATTGTAAAAAAAGCGAAGTGAGGAACATGAACATACCTTTAGCCGGAGCCATTGAAGAAACCCTACCTATCGAGTATTCCTAAATCCTGAAATTTAAAAATCTGAAATTGTAAGCGGTATGAAACTAAGCAAATTAGGGTAGAGTGGCGAGGCACAGTCACACACCTTTGCAGACGATCAAGCCGGCTCTAGGGTTTGCGTTTTGGTTTATGGAGTATATATACGAAATGTATCGAAATGACCAAAATATCCTTATTCATGTGTAAAAATGGGCCATATTTGGGCAGGCCCGTTTAAGATGTAATTGGGCTGATTTTTTAATCCACTAGGAGGTGTTGACTGGCCCATGTTCAGTCAAGAGTGAAAATACGAGTACCGTTGCTGTCTCCCGAGAATGGTGAATGCTGACGTGGCGGACCAATTTCTTTTTCTCGTATGAAACAACAGAAAAGAACAGTGCGGCAGAGCAACCTGAGCTCTGAGTCTGAGGCGCGCAGTCTCCAATCCGACGTCGTTTTGGTCGTGTTCTATGTCTGTGCGTTGCCTCTGTTTGGGACATGGCGGAAACAACCTCAACTTCTGTTTCTTCTACGGCGGGTGATTCGAATTGGAGAGAGAACAAGTTGTGGAAAGGCACTTTTGCGGTCTCCGGAATCATGCTCACCCTCGTTACCTATGGCGTCTTGCAGGTTTATGACCCAAACTTTTCGTTTCTTTCAATTTTGATATTACCCCAGGATCTCCTCGTCTTGCTTAAAACTAATTTTAATGACATATTTGTGTTTTGAAATGTTTCTTTCTTTAGTTGGTTTTCAATCCTATAGGATGAAGTGTTCTTATCTCTTTGTTTTTAAAACCACTTTCTGCTTATTTATCAATTTGTGAATGGGTGCTTATAGATTGAACTAGCATCTATTATAGGCATGTGGGCTAAAGCTAACGTGGATCTTCTTGTCTTGTGAAGTTGGATAATTTGAAAGCCCTCTCCGATGATCCTACTATTGTCCTGTGACTGTGAGTTATATAATATATACATGTGAGTGTGTTTTTGTTTCTTTCAGGAAAAGATCATGAGAGTCCCGTATGGGGTGAACAAGGACTACTTCAAATATTCTCTTTTTCTTGTTTTCTGCAACCGCATCACGACGTCTGCTGTTTCGGCTGGGGCTCTACTGGTAAGTGAGTGCTTGTTATGTGGGAAGTATTATGATTACCGAACATTTGATTTGATGCATGTTTGGATTAAAGTTAACAATTTTGGAGCAGCTTTCACTTTTCAAACTAAGTTTACAAAAGGAACCTTGGTCTCGCATTATGGAAACCTGGTTTCAGACAAAATATAAGTGTGTGAACGTACTTTTGAGAGTAATTAAACATGTTAAGAAATTGAGTTTTATCTCCCAACTGAGGAGCATCCCAACGGATAACTCAAACATGCTTTGTGTTTGATATTGCAGCCTTTCTTTTCTTGTGACTGCATTTGCTTGGCCAGAATTTACCTTGAATTTATGGTTTTCAATCTTTCTCATAGGCAAGTAAAAAAGCTTTGAATCCTGTTGCACCCATTTATAAGTACTGCCTTGTGTCAGTAACGAACATACTTACCACGAGTTGTCAGTATGAGGTAAGCTGCATAGTTTCTAAATGTCGATATATTGAATGGTTATTATAAGTTTATATTGCTAACTTATTATTGGCTGTCAGTTAATGAACCATTTTTGTATCATGTTTCTTATTCCAGGCCCTCAAATATGTTAGTTTCCCTGTTCAGACTCTTGCAAAGTGTGCTAAAATGATACCAGTTATGGTAAGGGAAACATCACTACCCTACTAAATCATATAAAATTTGTTATGTTTGTTATTACTGGTTGATTGCAATCTTCTTTAATACTGTTGATGAAGAATAGTAATAATTACATTGTATAATGTATTGTTTACCACTTTCATGCGCTCTTTTTCTCTCATCTGACAATCATTTGTGATTGGCATCATTTGTAACCACTTCAACTTTTAGCATGACAAGTCCATGAAGAGGAAAAATATGTAACTAGAGGTAGAATCCTGATCCTCAGTCTGAAAATTTGGTTGAACACTCTTTTCAAATTGGCCAAATTTCTTGGTCAGATTCTCTCTCTAGAAAAGTTCTAATACTTTGTCTCCTGCAAATTTGTTTCTACATAGGGTAGGCACATTCGTTTTCTATTCTTTTGGAATGTCAAACTTTCAACTACTTGTTTTTTTTTTTGTCTTCAAGAGAAAGCGAGAAAAGGAAGTAAATTTGGTAGTCACTAACAAATTTATCGTGACAAACAATTTACTTTTGAAAATGATTAAGTGGGTGATTTTAAAATTGCTGCAGTCAATCCTCAAACAATACTGGAGATGTGATGTGAAGTTATAAACATGTCATCTTTTTCTTTGATGCATGACAAGATGATTTTTATGTAGATTTTATAAAATTTTAGTTGACTAATTTTTTTAAATGGTCTTTTTTCTTCTTTTTATTTTGATTTAGATGTAAGTCATTATAGTTGAAGTACAAGAATGGCTTAATGCTAAATATGGTTTTGAAAATCTCAGAAAGATTTTTTTAACAAGTTGATTATGATTTATGCATGTAAAAAAGGCCATCCTGCTAGCAATTATTTTTATTTTCTTCCATCATGCATGTGTTTTAGACTCATCAAATCAATCCTGTTTGTTTTGTTGATGACAAATCTGATGTACAATCTTTATGCCTATGGTTTATTCTTTCCATGTTATGAATCTTTATTCCTTCCTTTGTGTGTTATTTAGGTCTGGGGCACTGTCATAATGCAGAAGAAATATCGGGGAACTGACTATTTGCTGGCCTTTATAGTAACCCTTGGCTGCTCAGTGTTCATCCTATATCCTGTAATCATCTTTTGACCCTAGTTTTTGGCGTCTTTTTCATCATTCTCTTTGTATGTTATTCTTTACCATTTAGAACCAACAATGCATATTTAAACATACTAACAAAATAAAGAATGGCACAGACTTGCTGAGTCCCATATGACAATTACAAGTTCACATATTCCTTTGATACATAGTTATCTAACTTGGGATCTAAAATTCCATAATATGCATTTATATAATTGAGTAGTTAACTGCAGTCTTGCCATTGGCATTTTGACTACAAGTCTGACCAGTGTATATTCTTGTATTAGTTATATCTACTGATGTAATTTCTATGACAAATGTTGTATTTTATCTTCCATTGAGTAAGCATTGTCACTGATATTGCTTTCATACTCGGGATTGATCATGCTGCTGAAGATGCAAAATAAATATTCTTGATAATCTGGAAGCATTCTGTGATAAGCTGATGTAATTCTTGTGTTATTATTGTAGGCAGGGACCGACATAAGTCCATATGGTAGAGGAAGGGAAAATACTGTTTGGGGAGTTCTGCTAATGATTGGTTATCTTGGGTATCACTACAAAACTTAATCCCACTTGCTATGATAAGTTTTTTAAGGTGTTGTCCCAAAAAAAAATGTCAATGCTACCTTCACCCATTCTGACATGAAGGGTTTTAATCTTTCAGATTATTCTCATCGTTAGGGATAAATCACCTTGCCTACCTAACGGTTCAGTACTTTCCTGCATATAATTTTTCTTTTCCCCCTTTCAATGTCCCATATTTCCATGAACAACCATATTATTTAAACTATACTTTTTTTTTATTTGTTCGGTTATGGTTATTTGAAGCCACATTATATGGTTAAAATCTCATTTTGTAACACTTTATAGTTAGTGCATTCTAGTAAATTCTTAATTGCCTAGTTTACTAATTTTATGCCCTTACCAATATGCTTTAAGTGTTCAATTTGTCAAATTATTTCATGTCCTAGTCTTCCTTTAATTCACATACTCAGTTTATTTTGGTTTGGTCTAATAGGTGTGATGGTTTTACAAGCACCTTCCAAGATAAGATGTTTAAAGGCTATAACATGGAGATTCATAATCAGATATTCTATACTACTTTGTGTTCTTGTGTTCTTAGCCTGACAGGTGGGTCACAGACGGTGAAATTTATTGAGCGTTATATTTTTCCTGATATATACAGACTGTAGTTTTATTTTTTTCCGCAATGAGAATTTTCTTGGACTGGATGTCTCCATTTTTATTCCTAGTGCTTGTTTCTTTTTCAGCTTCATGTTTGAGGTTGGATTTGACATCTGATATTTTTGTTTAGGCCTTATCATACAAGGACAATTATTACCAGCAGTAGAATTTGTTTATCTCCATAAGGATTGTTTCTTTGACATTGCATTGCTTTCAACAGTAAGAAAACTTTCCCTTCTGTTTTAAATTTTAGAATAAACTGTTGGTAATATGCTCACCTTTCTGATTTTTTAATCATTAGTGCTTTTATCCTTGTTTCATAAATGAAGTATATAAATATCCCTTCTCCATCTTCCGTTTCACTAAAGAAGTTTGTCATAATATCAACTTCCACAGGTTGCAACAGGTAGTCAATTTTTTATTTCCTACACAATTCGTACATTTGGTGCTCTAACATTTGCTACTATAATGACAACCAGACAGGTAACTATTCCAGAGAAAAATCAAATTTTACATTATCAGTTCAATTATTTTTTTTCTCAGTTGTCGTCATACTTTCTTCTTATTGTTGCAGTTGGTAAGCATCATGCTATCATGTGTGTGGTTTTCCCATCCTCTCAGCTGGGAACAATGGATTGGAGCTGTAAGACTTACTTCTATGTGTTATACTCTTTCTTTCTCAGCCATTAGATTACAACTGGTCCCCATTTGAACCCCCATAATATATAGCTCACACACTAAATGTGACACCATATACTTGATGAATTTTATGAAAATCCTATTAACATCAGTAAAACTATCAGGCAATTGTCTTCGGTGCAATTTATTCGAAAAGCTTCTTGAGGAAAGCACCTGAAAAGACAACAACCCCTTCTGTAGAACATGTACAAAATGGAAATTCAAATAATTTGAAGGAGGGCCCATGATGGAAGCTAACTCCTTTACTGACATGGCGTGGTACTACCTGTAGTAGAGTGGGGGGCAGCTTTCAGTTTTGAATTCAGAGCTGCACATTCAATATCGCAGGTCGTGGCTAATGCATTCTATGATGGTGGTTTGACATGCAGACAACACCTAATTTGGTGTGCCAATCATAACAATGGAGAAATTGATAGGGAGCTTAGCCCCTCATTTTTTGATAGGGGAGATCAATAATACTGATCAAAGGCAAAAGAATGTTTATAAATTGAAACATGTTCAATGTGTTTGCTCAAGCAAGGTTGTTTATTGGTTAGTTTTGCTGTGTATCTTTTGTTAGAGACAGAAGGGTTGTGCTAATTTATTACCAGGACCATATCCATATGTAAGGGTATTTTGTCCTTTGGATTTTAACCAGAGAGGAACGATTTTGGTTGATACAAATAGAAAAGTAATATTTTAACTGAGTCTCAACCATTTATATTAATTTTACTTAAATAAAAAAACGACAGTTTAACCGGTCTTGCAGTTTGTACGGACCAAGTTCAGGTAGGTTAGCCCACATGCTCATATTGAAAAGAACAAAAGAAACTTTTTAAAATAATTCAATTAGTATGGTATTCACAATTTTTTATATCATCTACCTCAATTTATTAATTTTAGATTTTGTGTGTTTCTTTTATGTATTTAGATTTGTTAGTTTTGGATCATCATAAAAATATGTGTTTATTTTAATTTTTATAATTTGATTTAAAATTAATAATGATTAAGAAAGATTAAAAATTCAATCTTGTGAATCTGTATTTAATTATTCAAAATACATATCAAATATATTCATAAATAAAAATAAGATATCGATTAAAATAATAATAAATAATTTTATTACTTTTATGAATTAAAATTTTAAAAAATATAATAAATAATGTTTTTAAAATACTTGATGTGTTCATGATAATATTTTTTTAATCATTACAAGAGTTTAATGTTAATCTTAATCTTCATCTGTCTGATATTTTTGGGTTAATGAAGATTTTTTTTTGGTCAAGAGATGATGGATCAAAACACTGGGTGAGCCCATTGAAGGGTATGCAAATATTTTTGAAACCTCTTTCCAGATGTCCATGACTAAATTAAATTCTATTTTACCTTTATACATATTTTTATTTTTATAAATGTTTATTTCTGATTTTTAAATTTTTGAATGTTTGATTTTTGAATTCTACTAAAGTATTTTCATTCCTTTTTTTCTCCTATTATTTCAGGAATTACAAGAAACAAGTAAGTATTTCTAAATATTTTTAATATCCAATTTTTTTACCACGAACATACTTGTATAACAAGATTTTTTAAAAATATGTTTTGGAGATTGAGAATACATTTATGGAGATTGGAAATACAGCTTTAGAAAAAAATCTTAGAAACAGGCTGTAAAATTTTTGGACCCACTAATTCAAAATGTATTATCATAAAATTAATTTTAAAAATTATTCTCAAACTTAGTTTCCCAAATATGTTTCTGAATATTTTTTTAGACAAATTTTTTGAAAAATACAGTCAAAATATTCCATCGAAAATATATTTTTGAATTGGTTTTTTCAATTCAAAAATATATTTTAGAATGTGTGTTTTTGAAAAAACTAATATAAAAAATACATTCCATAACTCAATCTAATTTTCATAAAATTGTTTTGAATTAAGTAATTTAGATCTTAATATGTAATTTTTAATATAAAAAGATGTAATTGATAAATAATATTAACTATTTCTTATTTTTAAATGTTGAAAACATTCCTAAACGACCGTGATAAAAAAAAAACGTGGAATAGAACTTTAACGGAAAAATTATAAAAAAAAAGAATTTAAGATAAAAATTATAAAAAAAAAATAATTATTTTACTTAAAATACGTTAATACACGAAAATAAAAAAGAAAGTGCCTTATTTTACCTGTTGCAAGGATCCTGTAACAGCATGGTTAAATATAAAAATAAATTTGATTCAATCATGACGATGATTTGGTTCAATCAAGACAATGATTTGTGCAACTATGATTATAGATAAAATGAATTTGGTTTATCTAGAAGTCACATAAAGCTAAAATGATTTACCACCACAAGAATTTCAAGTTGGTTGCCATGTGTAACATTTTTAGTTGACTACTTTTGCATTCTTCTCCCTAATAATCATATATCGGACTTACAAAAAATGTATTTTATATATTTCTCATTCCTAGACAGAAATGCTAATTAAGGAAGAAAAACAGTTCTACTGAGTTTAGGGTTTCTAAAGATTTAATAAAGATGTGTTATTAGCGTAAAATATTTTATATTATCAATAAATTAAAATAATTTTTTGTATAACTTTAAATGATATTAATATATCATAATTATTGTTTTTAATGATGGTATATATGTATTATTTATTCAAAAATAAATTTAGCATTCATCTTTAAAGGATATACATGCACTGATCAAGTAACATTTAACGTGTTTTTATGTTACTTTTTACAGATTTAAAAATACCACCCCTGCGGCATGAATCAATTAGGGAAAATTAGGAAGTTCTTCTAACTTAATAAAATATGATTTAGATTAGAGGCTTAAATGAATTATTTAAATAAATTTTATAGATCTTAGTATGTATAAATTTAACAACTTTACATCAATTGTTAAATTTACTCTTATAAGTTTTGTAATTTACTCATATTAATTAATATTTAAACAAACTATCTCCATGACACGAGTCATATACTTAAAATGAAAGTTATTAACAATAATTATTTAAAAATAAAAATAAATATTTTATTATAGTTTTTATTGTTTAAAATTAAAAAAATATTATTTATATAAATAATTCTAACTAAATTTCAAATAACTTTTAAACCTATAATAAAATATTTATATTTATTTTCAAATATCTTTTATTAAAATCTTGATGGGCTAAGGTAGATATTTATAAGTAATACTGTTTATTATTAATCAACATTAGTAATTACTTTTATTATAGATGATTTTGATTATTCTAATTGATAGTTTTATCTTAAATTATAAAGTAAAGTAATAATAAAAATACGATTTGAATCAAATTTGTGGATAAAAAGGAATAATTTTTTGAAAAAGTTTTTACTTTCATTGACTAAAATCAAAATAGTTGCTGTTTAATTAATTTTGGACACATTTTAAAGTCTTAATGTTATTAATAAATATGTTTGTTCTAATAAATTGTATTTTTTTTTCAATCCATTAAAGAAATATTAACATTTATTTATTAGTAGATGACGTTTAGGAAAAATGTTAATTTAAATTTTATTATTTTATTCGACTTTATTTCTTATTATAATTTTCTATCAATATTTAGGTATGGATAGTTTTTATTATTCTTCAGTTCATATAAACCGGTTAAACAATAAATACGTCATTTGTACTTTGCTGTGATATAATTAATTAAGTGAAATTTTAGTAAAAATAGGTATATATTTTTTTTAAAATGGAATTTTGCACATTTTATATTGCATGACTTCAATTTCATTTGAGTGTATGTGGAATTATCTTGTTATCTGTCAAATTAATTTTGTTTTGACTATATACACAAATATTTTAAAAAATAAATCTAAACTGATTTTTTGTTATAAAGTACGCATAAACTAGGTAACTAATCTCACAAGTTTTACCAGATGATTTGGAGGTAAATTATGTATCTAACTACTACTTCAAGTCAAGATATTACTCTACATAAATTTATTAATTCAAATTTGTTTTTAATTAATTAGTTATCATTCAAATTAACTCAATTCTCCATCCTTAAAAAATTGATATCTTGAATTTGTTATTTTGTGAATAAAAATGAATATTTTAGTATCAGTTTCACATTTGATTTATTTAAAATTAAAAACAACTGTTTTAAATTTGAAAATAATTATTTATATAAGTAACTCTAATCAATTTTTAAACAATTTGTCTACGAGACCTATAATAAAATATTTATATTTTTACTTAAGTAATTTTGATCTCATGAATCAAAATAAATATTTTATTATGAGTATTAAGACATCTTGCTTAAGAATAATAAAAAATTATTATGGATTCAGGATATGAATTACTTAAAAATTAGTCAAAATTATTTATATAAGTAACTTTTTTTCAAATTTTAAACAATTTTTTCTAATTTTGAATAATTCATCTATAATAAAATATTTTTTTTATTTTTAAACAACTCCATTAGTCAACTTGATTAAAATTTGGTTTGAATTGTTTATATAAAATTTTTTGTTCTAATTCTAAACAACTATATCAAATTTTAAACAACTCATTTATGATATCTATAATAAAATGTTTATTTTTTTAAACCACAAATTAAATTACAAATGAGTTAAAAATATTTATATTGTATTAGATTTTAGATATGAATTCGAAAACAAATTTTATATCTTACAAAGTTATTTGAAATATCAAATTTATGTTTGTTTTACATAATATGGATTAAAAAAAATAAAGAAGGAATTTTCTATGGATCTTGATTATTATGTTTTTTTTAATGATTGTCACATTGACATTTCTTCGTTTAGCAATAATTAAAAATTAGTAGAATGTAATATGAAAACACATTAAATCATTTAATATAATCGGTATATTCATCGAATTTAGATTTTTATTTGATGACTTTTTATTTAAAACTAATTCAAACCAAATCTTAGATAAAACTTTATCACATTTTTACCATATACAAACATAATTCTTTTGGTTCAAAGTGCAATTATTTTAGTAGAGTTATGTCACAGAATCTTCTCGAATCAATATCAATCTTAAACATTAAAACAGCATCTAAATTAATAACAATGAAAGTAATATAATTATAGTTACAACAAGAACTTTGATGAATTTCAGGAGTGTTATTTACCTAAATAGATGACAGTAACAAACAGTTCCGTTTCACTGGGATTCAGTCAAATTTTAGATTGCTATAAATACAAAGCACATGATGTGGGACTGAAAAATTGTGTGACTAATGCATAATTTACTTTGTTCTTTTGGGGCGATATCTTTGTGTTTTCTCTTCGTGTCGCATTGTGTTTGTTCTGCAGTGATGGAGATTGATCTTTCTCCCCAGTTGGCCAAGAAGGTGTACGAGGGCAATGGTGGATCTTACTATGCATGGTCCCCTTCTGAGCTTCCCATGTTGCGTGAAGGAAACATTGCTGCTGCCAAACTAGCTCTTCAGAAGAATGGTTTTGCCCTTCCTTATTACTCTGACTCTTCCAAGGTTGCATACGTTCTACAAGGTCATCATCCTTCATTACCTTCTCTTATTTTTTCATATCTGTGTTGATTCCTTCACTTCTCTTGTTATGAGGTGCTTAATTCACCCAATGAATTTTAGAAATAGCAAAAGATCTTTTTAAAGATCCTTTGTTTGTTTTTCATACTGATATCTCACCATTTTTCTGCTTAGATCACCCTACTAGTATTCATTATTTTTCCATCATATGATATCATTATGCTGTTTGAAGATCCATATCTTCCAATTATAATGAATGTTTCAGTTTTAAATCTGTTTTTTTATTTTGAGGGTTATATGAACCAAATTTCCTCAGACACTGATTAAGAATCAACTAGATTAGGTTTTAATCGTTGTGCTTTCTCTGCTAAACCGTATGAACAATATTGTAAGATAGTAATTATTATCTTTTACCGATTGTTTCAATATATGTGCTTATTGAGATTCTTAAGAGCATATTAGTAAACTGTTTGAAGTGCTGCAAAAAGGGACCTTCACACTTTCGGAGAAGAAAACGTCTGCGTCCCTTAAAAACGTTATACAATTCTAGTTGTTTTCGGTTCATGCTACAGTTAAAGAACATAATTTTATAGATGCCTTTGATTCCTGTTTATTAAGGTTTTAAACTGAGATGCAGTTTTTTCACAATGTTTTAGATCATAACAATAAATAATACTACTAGTGTAGCCACAATGCAGTTACAATTTAGTTGCATGAACAGTCTTTAATAATTTAGTTATGATACCTATGATATTAATAATTTTTTTTCTCACTGTTTGTCGTATATGATCATGTCCGTTTTTTAAAATCCTGATTATTTTTCTGATTTTATATTTTCTACAATGAATAATGTAGTTCTTGTCAACTATCGTTAGGAGAGGTGATACTTTGACGGGAAAATTTTATTTAGCTTTTAATCAAATAGGGTCTTCTTAAAATGAGTAAAATATTATTAAGTGAAAGGATCCATCTTGTTTTTGTAGTGATTCGGTATTCTGATTATTGGCTGATTTTTGAATGTGAACTTGAGGGAAACAGGAAGTGGAGTTGCTGGAATTGTGCTCCCTGAATCAGAAGAGAAGGTTATTGCAATTAAGAAGGGTGATGCTCTGGCACTCCCTTTTGGTGTTGTGACATGGTGGTATAACAAGGAGGATACTGAGTTGGTAGTTCTGTTCCTGGGTGATACTTCAAAAGCCCACAAGACTGGTGAATTCACTGATTTTTTTCTGACTGGTGCTAATGGAATCTTCACTGGATTTACAACTGAGTTTGTAGGAAGGGCTTGGGACTTGGAAGAAAAGGATGTGAAAACCCTTGTTGGGAATCAATCAGGAAAGGGTATTGTGAAGCTTGAAGGAAATATCAACCTTCCTCAGCCTAAAGAGGAGCATAGGAAGGGCATGGCACTGAACTGTGAAGAGGCTCCATTGGATGTTGACATCAAGAATGGTGGAAGGGTTGTGGTGTTGAACACCAAGAACCTTCCCTTGGTTGGTGAGGTTGGTCTAGGAGCAGACCTTGTGAGGTTGGATGGAAAAGCTATGTGTTCTCCAGGATTCTCTTGTGATTCTGCATATCAAGTTACATACATTGTGAGGGGAAGTGGTCGTGCTCAGGTTGTTGGTGTGGATGGTCGCAGGGTTTTGGAGACAACTGTTAAAGCTGGAAATTTGTTCATTGTGCCAAGGTTTTTTGTTGTGTCCAAGATTGCTGACCCTGATGGCTTAGAGTGGTTCTCTATCATCACTACCCCCAAGTGAGTTTTTTCAAACTTTTTTAGTAGATAAATAGCTGTCAATTTTTTTATTCATTTTTGTTTGGCTTCAATTGATCAACATAAGTAAGTTTTGAATATTTTTTGCCTACACCAGTCACCACTTTCAGAGTCAAATATGTTAGTGTTTTAGGATACCCACTCTTGACCCGGGAACTTTCCTGTATCTTTTTCTGAACTATCATTGCGCAAGATAAACAATTAATTGCCATTGATATTGTTGATTTGCTGATTCTTTTTTAGAGGAAAAAAAAAAAAAAACTACAGTTCCTCTCATGATATTGTTCTTTAGCCTAAATTGGATAACATAAACTGATCCTTAATGCAACCATGCCTGAATTACTAAATTAAAACTCCATTCTCAATTGGAAAACAACACTAATCACACTTGAGCATAAGTGTCCAAGTTTTGTCCTTTTTTTGTAGATATATTTGGTGGTATCTGGTTAGTTAGCTAATTGTAGTGAACTAGTGATTATGCTTAACTTGCAAATCATGAGTCCTGATAAAGTTATGCTTTTAAGTAAAAGTAGTGTTTAAAAAAAGTGTAACTTAATTGTTCTTGTGGCTAGTTGTGAACCTATCATGCGTATTAATTCTAAAACTGCCTATGATTGTTGTTATGACAGTCCTGTATTTACTCACCTGGCTGGAAGTATTGGGGCGTGGAAGGCTCTTTCACCAACGGTTCTGCAGGCTGCTTTCAACGTAGATGCAAAACTCGAGCAACTCTTCCGTTCAAAGAGGAATGCAGATGCCATTTTCTTCCCTCCTCCGAATTGAAGTAGCACATAACTGCATTATATCACTCCTTGCCTTGTATTTGGTGTGGTTTGAATTTGAAGTTTTTTGACTACTTGTTTTTAGTATATACATCTTTTGTTGGGTCTGTAAGACTGCCTTTATTTCAATAAGGTTGGTTTACTTTTACTTTTGGTTTACTGTGCAATTCAACGAAACTTTATAGGCCAAGTTTGACAAAACAATTCAAACATGTTTATATAGTATTCTCTTTAAAAAAAGAAATGAATTTTAGTATCTAAACGTTCATTAGAGTTTTAAAACTATTTTTTATATATACACTAAAGCTCATTCTAATTAATTAATTTTAAATATTATTATTTTCTTAAAATAAAACATTTTGTAAATATAAAAATTTGGCAATGGTATACGAAATAATTAAAAATGACAATATAATACTAAAAAAAGTATAGCAAACGATTTTTTTATAAAATATCAAGATATAAATATTAGAGATCAGAAAAAAAGTTGTTAAATTTAATCAAACTTTACTTCAATAACTTATAGAAAAAAGAGAAAGAAAAAGAATGCCTTTATTATATACAACATTCACATTTTCTTTAGTTTTTAATATATTCTTGTTTTTAATAAAATACATTTATATTTTTATAACTTTTAATTAGACATTCACTTTTATATTTTTCATAAAATTAAATTTATCTCCCTTATTTTATTTACAAAAATATATTTATTAAAGCTTTTGTGTATAAAAAATATATTTTATTTTTATATTCTAACTTTAACTTTTATTTTTCATAATTAGTTATTTAAATTTTAACTAATACATTTTTAAATAAAATAAGAGAAGTTAATATCACTTCATCAAACATATAAAGAAGTAATTATCATTTATTAAAAATATAATTGAGATAAATGTTTATTTAAAAATTAGAGAGAATGTAAATGTGATTTAATATCAACTTATGAGAAGTAAATACAATTTTCCCTATAAAAATGTTTGAAGAAATAATTTATAATTATTTAATTAACTTAATAAATACATTGATTACGGTATTCCTTTTCAATGGTAAAGTGGAGTAAACAGTGTAATGAAATGCTTATTTATATAATAGAAAAAAAATATAACTTACGTGTTTGGTTATAGATCTAAAATAAAATTGAAACAATAAAATAAATATTTACTTCTTACGTGTTTGGTTAATTATATTTTTTAATTTAATTGTGTAAAAATAATTAGTACGTGGAATGCACGATAATTAGATGAGTAGTAGCATGTTGTGGAGAAAATGGCACCAATTAAATCTCTGGAGAAAGAGTATCCCCTCATTGACACCAATTTCCAAAGCTTCTGCGCCTCCCACGCCATTTTCTCTGGTGCTCTTCTCTTCCGCTATTTCTCTTCTTTCCTATTTCGTTCTTCACTTTTTTCAGAACATGCTCACGATTCCACTATCTTCTCAGTTGAAGATTTCCTTTTGCACGATATCGACGCATTAATTGCCCTTGCGGATAATCACTCTGCTTCACAGACACTCAAACAGGTCAAGGTTACCTAATTCTTGTTCCTTTTATTTTTATTTTTTAAATTATACTCTGCTAATTTGTTATTAGGCTAATCAATAATAATTTTGAGCATGTACTTTTCAGGGAATTGACCAGCTTCTCTCAATAATACATACTCTTCATCCACCGTTGCTAAACGGTTTGCAGCTCTTGGAAGACTCTCAGCGTAATAAACATGTTTTGTCCACTGGATGTGAAGGGTACTTTCAGTTCAACGTATAGTGTTGATGTCATGTTAATGCCCAGTGCAGCATTTTATAATGCTAGTTTTGTTCGCCATGTTCATGCTCACATTTTGTTATACTCGGGGCGTGCTTGGTTGTGTAGTGGGGATATTTAGAACGAAAATTGAAATCACTTTGCACTTACTAGGTATAACAAAAATCTGAGAGTGTTGACTGCTTAATGCAACCTGTTTACACTGCACTCAACAAATTTTAACCACTCCTGTGGCCTGTAACTGAAAGTGAATCTCGTTTTCTATCAACCAACAACAGTGGAATTGAATTAAAATCTTTATTTTGCTCTTCGTTTTCACTCCCATCCTTATTTTCAACCAGTGGCATGGCAATTTATTTTCTCTGGTGTTGAAAATTTTGTGGATTATAATGTTGAGTTTTTAATAAATGTTAGATTTGGTGTAATAGAGCGTGAATGCCGATTAAAAGTAGCACAACGTTCTACTTAGTGCTCAAGTCTATTTAATTCAGGATTGATGCATTGCTCGGAGGTGGATTACGTGAAGGACAACTAACTGAACTTGTTGGGACATCCTCATCTGGAAAGACACAGGTAAGAACCCACTCCACCCAAAATCATAGCTGAGTAGGAGTGTTAACAGGGAGGGCAGGGATGGGCACCATTCCCATGCGCATCCCTGATTGCGATTCCCATTTCTAATCTCCACCAGGAGATGTTTGCCCATGGATTTTTACTGGTATTTAAGAACTTAAAATGAATTTTTAGAATTCACAAAAAAATATAAATGTCTAAAATTTTGCATATGTCATAATGTGGCCTAATAAAATTTCAAAGAATATCACAAATAAGTTCAACTTTGTCCTGTAATAATTAATCCGCGGAAATAATTTGAAGGGAATACTTTCTTTTGACATTTTTTATTGTTGTAAATTCACTTATCGGAAAAAGTCATTGTAAAAGATAAAAAAATTATACTTTTTCTCACTTAAGAAAAAAGAAAAAATATAATATAAATGTTAAAATAAAAATATATTTTGTTGGGTACTTTGCTGATAAGTATTTTGATCCCTACTCCTGCCTGCCCTGTTGGTCAATCGGGGGTACCTGGAATTCCCATTGCAGGAAATCCCTATGGAGTGGTGCAGACACTTTATCCATGATTTATCCTGGGTGTATTAAGGATATAATTATAAAAGTAAAATGGTTTACTTTGGTCTTGTAGATAATCTTTTTCTGAATTTTGAGATGTACATTATGCAATTGCTAATGTGCCATCTCTTATTTGGTTGATATAATATATATATATTTTTTATATTCTGTTCCTTTGTTTATTATGTTCAATTCAAATATTACTTACCTTTTTCTTTTATTGATTTATTTTTATTTTAGGCATGCCTACTGTCTGCTTCAACTGTTGCAAAGCATAAGAGTTCAGTTGTATACTTAGATACAGGAAACTCCTTTTCACCTCAGCGTATTGCACGATTTGTGGGCCAGTCTTCTGGTTATGTTTCTGACAATCAGGTTACTTTGACTTGAGACTTATGGTATACTTTTAACTGAATCATTAACTTACTGGCCTCAAAACTGTTTTTAAATGGTCCGTCTTTTAGGCTGATCATATGCTCAAAAAAGTATTGGACAGGATAATTTGCTACTCAGTGTTTGACATCTACCAGATGTTTGATGTGCTACATCAACTGAAGATTAATTTAAGATCCGAGGTTCTCATTGACTGAAATATTTGTAGCTGATGTAACATACTTGATTTTGTGTTTCTTTGTAAAAAGTAAATGACTACTTTCTACTGGCCCAGATTGTGAAATCAAATCAGCATGTTCGATTGCTTATTGTTGATTCAGTCTCTTCACTGATTACCCCCATCCTTGGGGGCAATGGTCCTCAGGGTATAGTACATCTTTGCACAAAAAATTATTTGCATTGTTTACCTAAATGATGACATCACTTACCATTTTAGTTTACTGGGTTGTGCAAGCTGTTGTCTATTTTCATTTTTTTAGGAACTTAGCATTCTAATTATCCCTTTTATCAAATTTACCTACTTTATAATTACTTTCTTAGGAACACAAGATTTTAACTACCCGAGTTAAGAGAATAAGAGAGCTTGCTACTCATTTAAAGAAGGATGTAAAGGGGTATGGTGTGCATCTTGTGTAATTAATTTAAAGTGCTGGCCTCTTGTTCATTAATACTTTTCCAACCTTATGTCTCCATTTATCTGATAACTATGTATATCAAGTCAAATATTCCATTGTGATTTCAAAGTTTAACCTCCAAGTTGCTATATTGTTCTTCTCAAATACCAAAAAGCAAAAGATTAGATATGTCCTAGGAAAGTGTATATATTTTTCATAGAGGTATATAAATTGATTGGACTCCTCTGATTATATGGATTATAAGCCGTACTGCAAATTGATTAGAGGTCAACTCATTTTTCACATCTTCTACTAATTTAGTTTTGTTTTTATCTTCTTTGATGTCATTCTCACTGCTTTCACAACATGATTAAATATTAATCAAGCTTTTCAATTCCTTTCCTGGGTTGCGAGAGTCTTATTTTCCATGATAAGAGGCTGGATAGAATATAGATATTAACTGTACATAAACTAATCGTTACATGCTTTGGTGATTTCAGGACATGCTTTGATGATATCTGCTGGGTTTTTACTGAAGAAGTTAGCTCATGAGCATAATATTGCTGTATTGGTAAGTTTTAGTTTCTTTTTCATTCATGATGGTAATAATCCTTTCAATAATTGAAAGGGATTTTCTGGATCCACCAAAACTTTTCCCACTAGGTGGGATCACCAACATGGATTAAATAATGTCATAATATTCTGTCCTAGAATCAAGTTTGTGGCAAATTTTTTACTTTTGAATCCTTGTTGATTGTTTCTCTTTCTCCTATGTTTTCTTTGGTCTCCCTCTATAGCTTTAGGATCTATCTACTGGACTATTATAAGTTTTCTTCACACACACCTAAACCACTTCACTATACTTTACCATTTGTTCTACAATAGATGCTACCCAACTTTATCATAATAAATTCATTCATTCTTAATCCTATCTTGTCTAGTATGTCCACCCATCTAATTCAACATCTCATATTTGCGACAGTGAGTTTATCCTACTTGTTAAAAACAGAACAGAGCATGAAAGAGACAGAAGAGAGGAGTAAAATTTATCTCTCGATATTATAACTGTGCTCACTTTGTAGTTTTACAGTAAAAGCTCAAGTAGAAACTCGTAATTGGCCACAACAAACCGCAAATTATTTCTAAGCAAAAATGTAGACATCATGAGACCTACAACTAGCCTTTTCTCAAAACAAGCAAACCATAACCAGATTTACAAGAAAAAAAAAACTGTAGAAATACTAAATAACAGCTGAAAAACCTCAATTTCCAAAACTACTATTAATTTTTTAGTGCCCAACATGTAGTTTCATACAACCTGTCACAGGTCTGAGCTATAATTTTCCTGCAGTACTATTTTTATCACAAATAACACTTGTGAATCCTTCATTTTTATTTGAATCTCTACAGTTTACTTCTCCCTCTATTTCTCAGTCATCGTATGCGATGGTCCCTAAATAGTTAAACCTAGTAATTTGTGGTATGTTCTCCAGGTTTTACCTCTATGTTAAGGTTGTTACACACCTCTTATTGTTATTGGATTTGCATTCTATATACTGTTTTCTGTTCAAGAAAATCTTCTGTTTAGGAAGAAGCGTGGTTTTCCAAAGCTTGTCTCCTCATCTCTGACATCCCATTTATTTCCTCCCTTGATTCTCCAATTAGAACAATATCATCTGCCTAAAGCATACACTCTGGCACCTTATAAGAGTGAACAACAAGGCTGCGATAAAGAAATATGGGCTCAAAATCAACCTTGGTGTTGTCCTCTGGTTATAATTAAATCTGTTCAGTCTTTTGATCTTATTCTCGTTTTCTCTGATTTATTTTCTTTCCTATGTTTAATAAGCACAAAAGTTTATAAGTACTACTGTCTTTTAGGTTAAACAATGTAACAATGAGGAGAAAAATATGCGGCTAGAGACAGAGAGCCTTTGAACAGGCCAGATAACGGTTGAGTCATGACTGGGCTCATTTTATATTTAGAATATTTCAAGCAAAATTGCTGTGATTTTCATTGATGAGGCTGGGAAGCTATATATCTTTAAATAACAATTCTAATGGAACAAATTTCAAGGTAACGAATCATGTGGTGGGTGGAGAAGACGGTATTTCCAAACCAGCTCTTGGAGAGAGTTGGAAGAGTGTCCCACATGTACGGCTTTTGTTTTCTCGTGATTGTGAAAACAATGTCTGCAATATTTCAATGCTAAAACATCCATCTATGGTATGCCACTTGATCAGAAAATTTCCTTATTGTGTCGTATGAGTAATTTAATGTGGTGTTAATGTGCTGTGTTATTTATGAGTAACTTACTTTTCATCTATTGGGATCGGATTCAAATGTGGCACGATTTTGCCGTGGGAGTTTGATTCCTCCACATCGCTATCATTGATGGGGCAGTTTGTGATTATTATTTTTATTGTTTGGAGTTGAACCACCGGAAATTAACGAGTCTGAATTGATTGTTCTGTTTCAGGCTTCTGGTAGGGCTGCGAGTTCTACCATGTTTTTATGACTGTTATTACAGTTGATTCAAAATTAGATATGCTTCAATATAAGTCTGATCCCACCGTGATATTCCAGGATAAACTATTGCAACTATTTTGATTAGAATCGATTGTGAAAATAGAAATATATCAAACATTTAGCATGACATGGACTTTATCTTGAAGGATTAATGTCTGTGGGTCATTGACATTGAGTTGTCGTAGCCATTGGTTTTAACACTGTCGTTTGTAAACATTAGATTGAAAAGCACAATACAAAGTTAAGGAGAAAGATGGTATGACATCTTCTGTTTTATGAAACAACCTATTAACAACTTCATGATTATAATATTAATAAATAAAGTTGTCCATATTTTAGAATTGAGTTGTGCATGTATAATAACTCCAAAGTTAATTCATCACACGGAATTCAAACATTTGCAATGATTGTAAATTTAGAACAAGAAATTCAGTGTATACATAAAAGAGACTGAAAGGAGGCTAATAAGCAAGATATGCAGTGAGCTGCAACAAAGTCTCAACTCCATCAGTATTATGTTGCTGACCGCTGACCGGAAAAGACTTTATAATGGCATATCCCTCTGCGTTCACATACTTTCCGGTTCCTCCAATGATGGCAATGTAGGACTCGGAAACTTGAGTTCGATGGACACCAAAGAAGCTGAGGCTATCGACATAACCATTCTCTTCAAACTTAGCAGTGAAAGCCATAAACTGACTTGTTCCATCCACAGCGCTGGCTATATAAAAGCCTTGTGCCTTCCCCACTAAACCCGAACCCATCTCATGCCCTTCTGTTAGTTCATCGTCAAACACAGTCATCGTTCCAAACATGACCTTCTGCAAAGTCATTCCTTCTGGGAGCTGGTTTGTGTTGGTCACCGGGAAACCGACCCCTCCGTTGACAAAGTTGTTGCCGTTATTGTTAAAGATGTTGCCCGTGGTACCACCCAGTCCGGTGAGGAAGGGAAGGTTGTTGTTATTAAGAATTCCACCATTGTTGTTGTTCTGGGGAAGGCCGTTGTTGAAAGGAAGGTTTGCACCGTTTGGCTTAGCGAATGCCACTTGAGCGTTCAGAGCCGGATTCGTAACAACACCTGTCACTGCTCGAGCTGTGGGGTTGGAGCCTCCTAGAATGTCGTGCATGAAAAATGAGAGTATGTGGTGTTGATCAACGCCTTTGACAGGTTCTGCAACAGGGGATGCGGGTACAAGTGGAGGGAGAATGGATGAAACGGGGGCTTGGGCAACGTTAGGTTGCTGTGATGCTTCTTCCACTTCATCGAGGGTTCGAGTTGAAGTAGTGGAAGTGATTGCAAGGCATACAAGTGCTACAAAGATAATTACATTGAGGGGCATGGGCGTGGTCATGGAAAGGGATTGAAAACTTGCCATAGTGTTTGATGTGATGTAATTAGAGATATGAGGAGAGCGATCTGTAAATAGGTGATTTAAAAGAAGCAAGTGCAAACACCATATATGTAGTGTGTGTGTGTGTTGGAGTTGATGTGTGGGGAGTAGTTGATGAGAGCAGCTAGCTCATTGATCTCATTCAAAATCCCTCAATTCTGTGTGTAGTAGTTAAAACTAAACAGTGCGCTTTATAAATAAATAAAAAACATTTGAAGAACCTTTGTCATAGGACATTGACTGTAGCAAATGAAATATAAAGAGAGAAGAAAATATAAATTTTACAATAATTATGAATGATAGGAAAAGAAAAACAGAGAGAAAAAACAAATATTAATTAGGTGTTTGAAAATATGGGGGTGTTTCATTGTAAACAAAAAAAAAGTTCATTGTTACAAAATAATTTTAATATCCCTTAGATAAAGCATTTGCTTGTTAAGGATCGAATCATCCTAGAGGCTAGCGGGTATGTAATTCATTGTAAAGCATGGCAATTGAGTTCTGCATGCAGTATTTGATTTGAGAATGGAAATTTACATAACTTTAGCATGGATATTAGAGTCTTTTTATGTTTCTCAACTACAAAAACAACGTGGGTGGTGAGGCCAACATTACTTTGTTTGTCCAATAGTATTGAAATGATTAGTGCACAACCAATTCAAATGTACACTGGTTGTGGAGTGAGTAGAGATGGAAACAGGAGGATATGGTAATAATTATCTTGTATTTATCTCGTCTAACATAATTTGTTGGATTATCTGTTTGAAAAAGAATGTTCATGTTGATTTATATATGCAAGTATTTATAGATTCTCACAAATATTTTCTTTTTAATTTTAAATAAGATGATTCGAAAACTATTTTTTTTAAGTATAAACTCAATTATTTTTTTATTTTAAAGTATAATCCAAATAAAATTACATAATAAAATATTAGTACAAATAAAGTTGGTTTTTATTCTAAAAAGATAAATTTAAATATAGGTAGTATCGCAAAATATTAATTTAAATAAATTAATCTCTTTTTAATTGTTAATTTGTTCTTCATCAATAATTTTACTTCAATCTCTTGATTACATGAAAAATACAAATAAAATTACTAACTGGAATGAATATGTGTGAATATGGTATGACGATATTTGTACTATCCTGTGTTAATAATTGATAATTAAAATACTCCTATTTATTATTTTCTTGGTATCTAATTAATGTATTTATACTATATCCGTAATCGAATTTACCGCTAAATATATCCATAGATATAAATATCTTTATCGTCCCTAAATATGAGATGATGTGCGATCATCTCATTGTGAGGCATAAGACTAGGTCTCAACTTATTCAATTTTATAATCAAGTCTCATCCTTATTAAATTGTTGCAATTTAATTTTCCTTTTAAAACTCACATTTGTACTTTATTTTTTTTTATTTGATTAAATTATTTAAAAATATTATTTTTCTTTTCTAATTATCATTATTGTGTTACTTGCTATTATTGTTATTGTTTTAATAAATATTTGCTTATCTCAATCCTAAAATAATTTATGCATTCATTCGTTAACAATTTAAAACTAGTGATTTCTATCTTAAATTTGTATTTCATAGTTATATATTTTTAATTACTATATATTTTTTATTTTTTGTTATGAGGAATGTATCTTCATTAATTTATTTAATCATGGTTTGTTATCTCCTTTTATTGTTTGGTTCATTGAAGGTGGTCGAATTCGTAGTTAGTTTTCACGTCTCACGTTTCATCCTTTTTTGGTTGTGCATAAGTTTGATGGGCCATTTACAAATCTCACCGTTCCAAGTGCCACATCCCAATCATTATTAAGCACCAAAAACATCAAAATTTAGTTGAATCAAATTCGTTGATTATCCCCTGAGCAAGAAATCTCAAACCTTTTCTTTCTCAATTTTCCATCCGTTAATTCGAAGGCTAACGAAACATTTCACTTCCATCAAGTTGATATAATTTCATTCTCAAAATCTAAAATTTCAATATATTTCAAATCACCACTATTATATCCACAATCCCATCACAGCAGCAGAGACAAATTTCCCCACTATCCTTTTCAGAATAACAATATTTGAAACAAAGTTTATTTATGTTATGGCCTCAAAGCCAACTACAATATGCATCCGACAAGTTACTTTTACAAGTTTTTTCTTCAATAATAATAATAATAATAATAATAATAATAATAATAATAATAATAATAAGATATTATAAGAACTTACAACACTTCGAAAAATTACCTTTCCTCTTAAATTTATGTTATCAACATTGATTTTTGACGTTGAATAATTAATTGTTTTTTATTTTTATTAGTTATACGTGTGTCTTTTTCATTTGTTAGTATTGGTTTATGCATGTTTGACTAACTGCATAATTGACTTTTTCTTTTTTATACTTAACCTACTTTTTTCCTATCGTAAAGTAAGTTTTTTCTTTTTTTTGTATTCGATCCATATATAAAATAAACCAGTTTTTTTCCTCCCAAATTCTGAATGGGATCCATATTTTTACGTTAATTATTAAGATTCAAATTTTAGATAAGATCCAATTCTTAATTTTAAGACCCTTATTATACTACGTATGTTACAATAAAAACAAATTACAAGTCCTAGCTATATTAAGAGGAAATTTTTATAGACAACAAAAGAAAAACTCAAATTTAAGATATTATTTTGAAAAACATATATTTGATTATGTGTTTCTTGAGGAGCAAATAACTCATTTCCCAGAAAAAAAGATAAAACTCATTTCTTGACGACAATGAAAAAGATAAGGATAGTTATACAAAATAAGAAAAGATAAGACTTATTTGTTTTAGTCTTAGATCAATCTTTATTTTTCTTCTCACTTGGGTGGTAATTTTATTATTTATGAAACCCTTTATTTGGATCCAGTTCCCTTAAACATCTTCTAAGTCAAACCAAGTTACTCCGTGGGTTTTCTTTTTCTCCATCTTTTAAAGTATACCAAACTGGGCGTTAATGACATCTCATCACTACCCAACATTTTCTACACCAACAAGCTCTAAGCCATGCAAATTGGATTTTGTCAAAAATTTGACAGACTGACTAATTCATTTATCTTTATTAGAATCATTACATAATGCGTTTGATTATAACGGTTTTTTTTTTTCTCTATATTAAATGCATCATAATTAGTTGACAATTTTAGAATGAATCAATAACATAAATATAGATAATTTCTCATTTTTATTTTGAGATTTAAACTTACCTTTAATAATCTCTTTGGTCCTTTCCTATTATATATCTCTCTTATTCACTAATAACTCTTTTTATTGGATCTCATTTAAAATTTTCAATAATCTCCTTTTATGCTTTTATACCAGGGCATCTTTTCAAATTTCTTAATAACTCTTTTTTTTATCTTTTAAGGAAATTAAAAAAAAAACATTAATAAGATATTAACCTAACTCAAATAAGGGATTGATATTATTTTTAATTTAAATCTTAGGACATTATGAAATTGATTTTTTTCTTTATATATTACTTAATTTTCTTATTTTTAACATTATTTGTAACCTAAATCTTAAGAATTTTTTTTATATATTACTTAATTTTTTTATTCTTATCATTTTCGGATATCACATTTAAATTTACTATTCATCCAACAATTATATAATGAGTTAGGAGTTAACTATGATCAAAAGTGTTACAACAACATCCAAAAACTAATTAAAAATTATTCAAGTTCACAGAAAACTTACATAGGTTATAACACTGCCTACGTTTTCTTACTTTAAAGAATCCAATCAATTCTTTTTTTCTTCATCTCCAATCTTTCAGCAAGAAGTCCTACCTGCATTTTCTTTCCTCTTTTTCTTCTTTTATATATATATATATATATATATATATATATATATATATATATATATATAACTTTTTTTTAAATCATAATACATTTTTTAATAAAATTGAAAAGAAATTAGTTTTTACCATGCTCCTACCGGTCCCCGGCCGTTCGCCGGCTCTCTTATCATATGCTTCCACAATCCCCATTTTTCTCCCTTCACGGTTAAAAATTAAAAGAAAACTTATATTAAAGAAAATTTATTTTTTAGATAAGTGAATAAATTATTAAATTTTAATAAAAAATATTTCAATTCATTTTAAACTAGGTTACAAAAAATGCACTTTTTTTTTGTGTTAACTTCAACATTACAAGTTTAATTTAGGGAGTTCTCAGGTTCTAAGTTGACGATATTATGCTAGACACATGAAGTTACGTAGCACAAGAACGTGTTCAAAAACACTTGAACAAAAGACCAACAACACGTACTTTCCAATGGACACAAACCACTCAAGATATCAATGCATGTCTATTTCTATAAAAAGTCATTGCTAGTAACCATGAAAACCATCTTCAATTCATAAATCTCTTAACCAACTTCCAAGATGATTACTGAGTTCCTCTTGACAGTTCTCAGTTTCTTCCTCTCTGCTTTCCTTCTCAAACTCTTGTTTGAGAGAAGAAGAAAGCCCAGGGACCACTTCAAGCCCCCTCCAAGCCCACCAGCAATACCCGTAATCGGTCACCTCCATCTGCTTAAACCACTCATCCATCACGCGTTCCAAGAACTTTCTCTCCGATATGGGCCTCTTCTATGCCTTCGATTAGGTTCCGCAAAGTTCGTAGTTGCAAGCACCCCTTCACTCGCCAAAGAGTTTCTCAAGATCAACGAGCTCACATACTCTTCTCGAAAAATGAACATGGCCATTGACATGGTTACCTACCACAACGCCACGTTTGCGTTTGCCCCTTACGACACTTACTGGAAGTTCATGAAAAAGCTCAGCACCACTGAACTCTTGGGAAACAAAACCCTCGCGCAGTTCCTACCAATTCGGACAAGGCAAGTTCACGAATTCGTTCAAACTATATTCCACAAATCGAAGGCCGAAGCAAGTGTGAACCTCACTGAGTCACTCTTGAGGCTTTCCAACAACGTGATATCGCAGACGATGCTCAGCATCAAGAGCTCCGGAACAGACAGCCAGGCAGACCAGGCACGTGCGTTGGTTCGTGAAGTGACGCAGATTTTCGGTGAGTTTAACGTTTCCGATTTCATAGGTTTCTGCAAGAACTTGGATTTTCAAGGTTTCAAGAAGAGGGCATTGGACATACATAAGAGGTACGATTCTCTGCTAGAAAAGATCATCTCTGATCGTGAAGAACTAAGAGGGAAATCGAAGGTTGAAGGTCGTGAAGATGGAGACAATAGAGTGAAGGATTTTCTTGATATTTTGCTGGATGTTGCTGAGCAGAATGAATGCGAGGTTGAGTTAACTCGAAACCATATCAAATCATTGATCTTGGTACGTAGGTTCTTTTTTATTATCATTTTACTATGACATATTCCAGTAATAGTAATTGATAAGAGCAAATAAAATCGAACTTTTTATTTATCAATTATCATTATTATTTTCAGGATTAGTTTACAGCAGCTACCGACACAACTGCTATATCAGTGGAATGGGCGATAGCAGAACTGTTCAACAATCCAAAGGTGCTGGAGAAAGATCAAGAGGAGGTGGACAAAGTCACTGGAAACAAGAGATTAGTGTGTGAAGCAGACAGTTCTAACCTTCCTTACATCCATGCCATCATAAAAGAAACAATGAGGCTTCACCCGCCAATACCAATGATTATGAGGAAGGGAATCGAAGAATGTGTGGTTAATGGAAACATGATTCCAAAGGGTTCAATAGTCTGTGTAAACATTTGGGCTATGGGGAGGGATCCAAGTATCTGGGAGAACCCTTTATTGTTTAGGCCAGAAAGGTTTCTAGAAGATGAAGGAAGCAATGTGGATCTGAAAGGGCATCATTTTGAGTTGTTGCCATTTGGGAGTGGAAGGAGAGGGTGTCCTGGCATGCCTTTGGCCATGCGTGAATTGCCCACAATCATTGGAGCACTCATACAGTGTTTTGAGTGGAAGATGTTGGGTTCTCATGGTGAAATCTTAGAGCATGGTAGACGTAAAATCAATATGGATGAACGACCAGGGTTGACTGCTCCAAGGGCCAATGATCTTATATGCATTCCTGTTGCACGATTAAATCCTACTCTTTTTCAAGTGTAGTTATCGCGAAGGAATTTGTGAAACCCAAGTGTTCTACATCTTTCTGCGTCTGAAATTGTGATGTGTATGGGTTGGAAAATGTTCTTTCAAACTGTATTTTGTGATGGAATTTACTTAAAATTACTGTGACGAGGGTATTAGCATAGAATAAGTCTATATTTTATTCAATAAATATCACATTGAATATAACATTATCTTGTAGCAAAAATTTATATTAAATATTTGGCTTTGATTGTGAAATTTACAAGAACTACATAAAATACTTGTTTTCATGTAGTTCTTAGATTTGGATGCCTAAAATAGTTCAAACTTTTCATTTAGTTGGTATGTTTGATGGGATACAAAACAAACTGAACAATGTGGAGGATAGTACGAAAATTTTCCGTTAAAGAAATAAGAAATTCAAGACCATCAAACAATGTCACTAATCGAATAACTACTTCTACAATTTGATAACTTTAAAAATATTTATTTCCATCTCTTTATAATAAAAAATAAATGTAAATGAACTAATGAGGTTTCACAAATATATATATTTTTTTAACTGGAGTAAGAATAATGTTTGGAAACACTTTGGCATTCCCTGATGTTTACTTTTATTTATATGTGATTTGACTTTGACTTACCATTAATAAAGAATTTGGGTACAAAATTGGCCATATATAAATTAGTCATTAATTTTCATTTATTGGTTTTGAAAACAATCCATCATAAACATTATCTATTTGTTATAAGCTATATGTTATTGGTAAAATCATGGTATGCATGCTTGTATGTAGCAAGTATGTCCAAACATGATAAATGAAAATTTTAAAACTTACCACACTTACATATGACTTATTTAACATTTGTATGAATTAAATCCTTGATCTCACCTCCGTTAGATTGATTGTTTTCTCACCAAAATTTTGTACTCATTTGGTTAAATTCAAGCACTTTATAAGTGTTTTCCTTTGAATGGAATCCTTCAAAACCTTAACGGTCACACGAGAGTATAAGTGTCCAACAATTGTGTCATTGTTTTAACATGGAATTAATAGACTCTAATAGATTGATAGTTATGTTTCTCCAATGTCGCTCATTGTTCCAAGTGAGTGTCCATTTTTTCTTAGGGATTTTGTCTAACTATTATGTTGACTCAAAATTTTCCTCACTTATTATGTTGTAACAATTGAACAATCTGGACTTAGTCATTCCATGTATTATTCAAAAAAATTAAAGATGAGTTAGTGAACAATTACTTGAGTAGCACATGAAATTATAAAAGAATAAAATTTACTCATATTCACACACACCTTTCTTAAGTGGAGTATTCTTGAATATCCTCATGAAATTTTGAGTAATGGGTTGAATGTAGTACACATGTATAAAATTATTCTCGATCTAATAATCAATGATATCACACATTTTGTACACATATCTATAATTTATTATATAGTTAATTCACTTTTCATATGCTTTATTTTTAGTTTTTAATTTATTTTCTTTAAATTATAATAAATTGGGTTTCATGTGCATATTTGCTTTAATTTTGTATTTTTAGCTCATCTGACCTTTGTTCATTATTTTTGGCTATAATTTTTTTGTAGATAGTATTTTTTTTACTCATTCTAGTTGCATTGAATTTTACACTTATTGGGCTTTTAATGAATATATGGTTTGCTAGATTTGGAATTCTCTATTGTTTTCTATGGTTTTTAGAACTTGAAGAAAATTTGTTCAAATTTTGTAAAGGAACCCATGCGAGATTAGATTTTTTTAAATTAGCTTAACTTTTGTAATTAGACTATTATGAACCTAATTAAAGTCCACATTTAGGTTCTTGTTTGCATAAGATTTTATAGCATTTAAATGACCTAAATGTACTCTAAACTCATAAACATAAATCATTTATTAATTTTTTAGTTTAGAAATTGTCTCTTTATCTTCTCTTTTCTCTCATTTTAGTTTTAACTTTTCATTTTCTCTTATTTTCTTCTTCATATTAGTTTTATGTTCTTCATTAAAGGGAAACTAAATCTTGAAAATCATGGAATCAAGATTAAACACAACAAATTGAGTTTTGTATAAATTGTTTCTTGCTCTCCTCTAATCTCAATTTTGTTCTTTGTGATTATATTTTGCGATTTTGATTTTAGAAATCAAACTAGAAATCAATTGAATCTTTATTTAATGATTAAATATAGATTAGATTAGATGATACTTTGATTTAATTTGTATAACTGGTTTAATTGATTAATTGAATTGATTAATTATTCAAACTAGGACCTTAATATTTAGAGAACTATGATAAGATGATTATTTGTTTAATTATGTGTAAAGTACCAAACTAATACAAAGGAATCACATTTTAATGTTGCAAATAAGATATAAAAATACTTGAAGAGAACAATAAGGGGTAATGCACCCTTAAAGTTAGTCGGCTTTTCAAATTTAGACTTTGCAAGGTGAAAAGTAGATAGGAAAGCACAAGTGAAACATGTCACCTTTTAGTAAGCAGCTTAATATCTTGGCACAGTAAGAAGAAAGCTTGTATTGCTTTGTCCACTATTGAGACAGAGTACATTGTTGTTGGAAGTTGGAAGTTGTTGTGGTCAAATCTTTTGGTTAAAACAACAATTAGAAGATTATGGTCTCCAATTGGACAAGGTACCACTGGTTTGTGATAATACCAGTGCAATTAATTTGAAAAAGAATCCCATCTAGCATTCTTGAACAAAACACAAAGAGATAAGATACCATTTCATTAGAGATCATATTTTAAATGGAGATTATGAGATAATGTTCATTGAAACTACAAAGTAATTAATAAATTTATTTATTAAACCACTAGCTAGGGACAAACTAAATCTTCTAAGAATTAAACTAGGAATATGAGACTACATAAATGTTCACTACAAGATAATCGCATATTTCCGACGGATTTTTACCGACAAATTTATAGTTGTCAGAAAATAAGTCATTACCGACGGATATAAAACATTTGTGGAATTTAGTCTTACCAACAGATATATTCGTCGGTAAAATAATAATTAGTTACCGATGAATATATCTGTCGGTAAATTAACAATTAATTATCGACGGATATATCCGTCGGTAAATTAACAATTATTTACCGAACGAATATTTTCATCGGTAAATTAACCATTAGTTACCGACGGATATATCCGTTGGTAAAATTATATAATAATTACTTAATATATTCTAATAAATTAATTATTCACCTCATTAAAAATTTAAATATTTTTTTATTTAATAATTTAATTTAATCATAATTAGATTAATTTATAATAATTTATTAAATTAAATAATTTTAAAAAATAAATATTTAATTATATATAAATATATCAAAATATATAAATATATTTGTATTTATATATTTACATTGATATACATTTATTTGTATATAAATATAATTTATTTGTAAATTATTATAAAAAAATTTAGTAGCTTAGTGGTTGGAGTATCGACTTTCAACTCTGAGGTGCTTGGGTTTGAATCTTGTTAAATGACATAATAATTTAAAGCTATAAAAATGTAATGGGGCAACGAATTTTGACCGTCGACTAATTTTAGTTTCAAATTTGCATTTTATATTTTCTAAACCTTAAAACCCTAAATTTAATTTATATGGAAAGAAAACTAAAATTTAAATACAATCAATGTGTCTTTGAGATAATAACCTAGGTTTGTGCTCATAATTACATGATCTTTAAAGAAAACTTAAAATATTTAATTTTAATAATGATAGTGAAAATCATCCAACCACTCCCCTCTCCTAAGTTACTGACAACAACATTTTAGGCACATAAAATACTAATAAAAAAATTTAACAAGTTGTTAAACTAAAAGAAAAATTAAAATATTTAATTTTAATAATGATGGTGAAAATCATCCAACCACTCCCCTCTCCTAAGTAAGTGACGACAACATTTTAGGCACATAAAATACTAATAAAAAAATTAACAAGGTGTTAAACTAATATAGTATAATTAATTCATATCGAATCTTATAAGAACACAATTATAAAAATATACTAATTATCAAACATCATTCTTTCTAAAAGCAGTAAATAATAGTAATTAAGGGGTTGGTGATAACACTACAAGAAAAAACACATTTAGCGACCAAAATTAGCGATCGAAACCGATTTAGCGACCGAGTTAATTCGATCGCAAATTAGCTGACTCGATTTAGCCACGAAATATGATTTAATTTCACTTTTTTATTTAGCGACCGAAATAGCGACCAATAGTTTGCATCGCAAAATTTCGATCGCTAAATCGATGGCTATTTCATACTAAAATTAAAAAATCATTTAGCGACCGATTTAGTGACCGAATTACAAATTGAAATAGTGACCAAATTGAAATCGGTCACTAATGAATATTATTTTTTTATAAATATACTGTAATTATTTTAGTATATTTTTTACAATTTATTTTTTAAAAGTAATTTATTTTTTAAAAATAATTTATTTTTTAAAATATACTTTAAAAATAAACTTTGGTCTCAATATTAATAAAATGAAGATTAACTTTAATTTAAAATTACTAAAATAAAAATATTATTAAAAATAAATCAAATTTATTAAAAATTTAAATTGTAATAAATTAAGACTAGAGTGATATTAATTATTCAATACATTATTTAAGAAAAGTTTAATAACAAATATTCTTTAATTTATTTTTCAATTGAAAATTTCAATTGAAATTAAATTATATTTTAAAAATTTATATTAAAAAAATTAAACACATCAAATTCTCACATTTTAACTCTAATTAACTTAATTAAAAAATTACAATTTTAATCAAATTATTACAATTTTATTTTATAATAGTTTATTTTTAATCTAATTTTTAAATTTATTGTTTTATTATTATTAATTACTTAACCATTGTTGTTGTTATATAATTGATATACCAAAAAAAAATTATATCAATATACATTAGATAATAAATATATTATTTAATTAAATTATTTATAAAAATATATTTATC